TGGCCATTGGTTTTTCAGTCCAGTCTCAACTATCTGTGATAGTAAACATGCTGGTCTTCAAAAATCTGATGCACAAATTCTTATGCAGGACTCTGGTGATTTCCTTGAGGTTGCTAAGAGTGGACTCTTCTTTATTTTAGGTGTTGAAGCATTTTCCACCTTTCTACCTGATGGTTTCCCTTCACCTGTCCTAAGCGTGCCATTGATTTGGAAATTGCATTCCTTATCTGTTCTTTTACTCACTGGTATGGGAGTTCTGGATGATGAGAAGAGTAGGGATGTTTATGAGGTTTTGCAAGACCTCTACGGTCAGCGTCTTAATGAAGCTAGGTCTTGTCGACTTTCTGTACACGTCACGCAGAAGGATGCAAAACACTTGCTATCACAACCAGAAAATAAAAGCAATTTAGAGTTCCTAATGTTTCAATCCGAGATCCATGATAGTTACTCAACATTTATTGAAACTCTAGTGGAGCAGTTCTCTGCTGTATCCTATGGTGATGTACTGTATGGACGGCAAATTGTACTATATCTTCACCAATGCGTTGAATCTCCAACACGTCTTGCCGCCTGGAATGCACTAAATGGTGCTCGTGTTTTTGATCTTCTTCCACCTCTTGAGAAGTGCATCGCTGATCCTGAAGGGTATCTACAACCGATTGAGGTGCGTTCTATCTCCTCACATCTGTTTACATTTCAGATCAAATTTACAATACGATACGAAAGTATATAAAATACAAAATTCTTTTTTGGGGGTATCCCTCTTGTCAGCAGAAGAATTAGATGGGCTTTTATGCTATAAAAGGGGTTCTAAGCTCCCAAAAGGCCTCGTAGTTACAGTTACGATGTTTATTAGAAGTAGTGGTGTGCACTCAATGTTTAGACAAGGCAGGAAAAAGACGAGAAAATAAAAATGTGAAAAAGAGAGAAGCTCAGTGCATATGATGAACAGTACAGCTCAAGCAGTTAGTCGAATTTTCGTGTGCTTGTTTTTGTTTTCCTTTTTGGGGGAGGGGTTGTATAAGTGATTGCGATTCTTTTAACCATCCTCTTTCGACAAATTTGATGCGAGTAGTTAATTAAATATAAACGGACGCTCACAAGAGTCAACGTTAAATTCTCCAGATTCTTACTGATTGTTCTACCCTTTTAGTCATAACATTGACATACTTGTTGAACTCATATACTGGTCAATCTAACCTGACAAGATGGTTCCCTCACAGGATAATGAAGCCATTTTGGAAGCTTATTTGAAATCATGGGTTTCAGGTGCCCTTGACAAATCTGCAAGTCGAGGTTCAGTGGCCTATTTACTAGTTCTACACCACCTATCATCCTACATATTCCACTCTTACCCTGTCGACAATTTGTTGCTTCGGAACAAGCTCTCAAGGTCTCTTTTGCGAGACTACTCCCAAAAGCATCAGCACAAGGTATGAAAGTTGGTCTAAATAGCACCACAGTTTCAATTAATATCCCTAGCCGTAACGCCTAATATGATGCCATTTGATAACTGTTGTGGGCATTATCCATACCCATGCTCAAAGTTCATGATTATGTTATGTAATTAGTTACTTAAGTTTGATTCTACCATATTAACGGATGCATTCTTATAAAAAATAACATAATCTCAGGCAATGATGTTGGATCTCGTCTTATATACCGAGCCATCGACATATCTTGTAACTGGACAAAAGGGTATTGGTACGTCAATCGAAGCGAGCGTAGTAGAGAAAAGGCTGGAGGTGTTGAAGGAAGCATGTGAAAGGAACTCCTCTCTTTTGACTGTAGTTAAGGAGCTGGGTTGTGCTGCAAAAGACAAACTGTGAGCAATATGATGAATGTTCTGTATTCTTATCTAAATTAAACTGCTGGGTCTCTCTGTATTCTTATAGTTAGTATATTATTTCGGTAATTCGTAGGAAACAACTAAGGACCAAAAAGGTGATTAAGGCCCCTCTTGAATTTTGTTTTTAAAAAAACTCCCATCAGTATACCCATAATTAGCGGATATTGTCCACTTTGGTCACATATTGTCCGCTTTTGACTTTTAGGTATCGTCGTTAGCCTCACAGTTTTAAACTGCATTTATTAGGGATAGGTTTTCATATCATTATAAGACATACTTCATTCTCTCCAACCAATGTGAAATTTCACACATTATTTAGAGCCTTGATAAGGAAGTGATTTGAGCTCGAACATTTTAATGTTTTTCCTTTCCTTATCCATGGCTCGTAGCAAGATCATAGTTACATAATTAAAATCACCATTTCCCTAGTAGCTTACAGCCTTCCTTTAGGTAAAGAAGAAAATTTTGAAGGTATGGATATTAGACGTAGATTAGACCTAACATAACTCGTTATAAAAATCCATTTATTCCTCTTAATATTCACGTAGAACTTCAACATGTGATTTATATATTCTTAAATTTTCAATAAATCTCCAAATTTCTAATTTGTTCTAATAGGTTAGCGATGTATTTGATTTTTTTTTTAAATTCACAGATCTTAGGCATTAGCGAACAGGTTTAAATCTCAATATATATTTTTTACGAGACAGAAACTCAACTAAAATTTAATAAAATTCGTATATTTAGGCTTAATTTTTGTTCTTCTTATGGAAGAAACAAAGGCCACTTGGAGTTTGGCTTTGTCATTGATACCATAACTACTACTCTTTTAAGTCGATGATTTTCTTCCCTTTTTCATCTTTTTACCAAACTAAACCCCCATGTGGCATCTTCATCTTTCTTTTTTAAATATTAAATTAAGATTAATACGTATCTAATTCCTAATCTGTATACTAATCTTTTAATCTTTTCATCCCTTTTTATTCTATCAAAAGTTATTTAATTTTTTTTCTCTAATTAATTACAAAAATTAGATTGTTATATAAATTAAATTGTTACAAATTTAAAAGTAAAGGATTCAAATTATATTTATTTACTTGAAAATATCCGTCTCCTTCTGATATGAACCAAGACATCTCAATTCCAGAATATCAATCACATTAAGAAAGAATCAAGCTTTATTTATGCAACAAAGGCTTCAATATACTTCAAGTGAGGTTTCATTTATTCTTAGATGGTTACAAATTTACGATGGATAATTAAAAACTTGATTTAGTTTAGATTGCATGTTTAGAATCATTCAAGTTTGACATAATCAATCTTGCTCGCGGAGTTATTCAAATCTCTAACGAGTGTTCTTATCTTGAAATATTAGATCAACAAGATAACTACAAATCTTATTTTCCTTAATAGTGATTTCTTATCGTTTGGAACCGGCTCTCCTTAGTTTCTTATCACCAAAAAAAAAATAAAAAAAAAATAAATTAATAGCTGGAAAAAAAAAAACCAAATCTCATTGAATTTTCCTAAATATTGGTTTGGTCTCTTGAGGAGTTTGCTGTCCCATTCAGACATTCCATTTTCTCATTCTTCCCAGACTTCACTGTCCTTTATTGTCTTTTCCCCTTTTTATTTTATTTATTGTTTTATTTTATTTTAAATTATCTCTTTCCATTTGTTTTCATTAGGTTGTGTGTGTGCATGGACTGTCACCCTTTTTTATTATTATTAATTATTATTAATTATTAATTGTCATTTTTCCATTGGTCCGTTTTTCTTTCCTTTAACGGCCCGCGGCGTAACTTTCTCACCCATATAGTCAACTTTGAATGAAAATGACATTACCTTCATGCCCACTTGTGATCTCGACACGTTGCCTGCTGCTTCATCCGACGGTTCAGATCCTCTGCACCGGCCTCGTATTCCGCACGTCTAAAAGCAGGGGATTTCCACCTGCCACGTGCACTGTGTTCTTTAAGATGACCTATAAAAATTCGACACGTAATCGTCTGAAGCCGCTCGAAGTTTCCCATAATTCCTAAAATACCCTCTTTCTTACGAAAGCGGACTTTCCAATATTTTTTAAACGTAAAATTATGTTATATTTTTTTTCTGGAAATAAATTTATAAATTACACGTAGTTAATTACGGAATTTATTTTCGGGTTTTGTTATGTTTTTCAAGATGCGAAAAATGTAATTAATTAACGATATATTTTTTAATAACCTGTTAATTATTGAATTATTGTTTTAGTAATTATTGGCCCACAAAATAATTATGATATTATATATCTTTTTCTCTTTAAAAAATTCTTTAATAATAAAATGAAACTGTAAAAAAATAAAAATAATGTACTACATACAACCAACTTAAAATGCACGATTCGTGGAAGATAATTAACTTAATACTTAACGTTAAAGCAACCGTATAATTTGATAGAGTTTTCTATATAACTGTAGAAAAGACATTATTTTAAATAAATTTTTATGTCGATATATATTAATCTGGTAGGGTGACATCAAAATATCTTGCTCTCATAAATTGAGGAGACAGAAGTCTCGTAATTTGTCTATGGTTAGTCGTGAGCTCATAGATAATTAAAGACTGCTTCAAATAACTTTTTAAAAAAATATTTTTTTTATCTGTCCTTTTAAGTGATTTTTTACTATTGGTTTAACCGTGGAAGATAAACACAAATTGATATATATATTTAATCATGCATCTAACCTTTTTAAATATTTTATTCTAGTCTCTCAATTTTAAAATAATTGACGTGAAATAATTTTAAAAATTAGAAAATTATTTTTTATTTATCGATATGATATTGAAAATAATGTCATTAACGAACTTCATCTTGTATGTTAATTTTCATTTATTGTTTTAATTGAAAATTTTTGAAGGGCATTTTTGCAATTTTAAAATTAAAATAAAAAAATTTAAAAATCAAGTATAATTCAAACATATTCTAAAAGTTGTGATGAATTTTGTTAGTCAAATACCTTTTTTACCCTTTGCTCATATTTGGAAAGTACAATCATCACTGGCAATAATGTAATATTCCGTTATAAAATATTGAAAAAGAAAATTTCCTTCTTTATTTAAATGGTTTAGGGTTTAAAATATTAAAACTAATTTAAAAAAGAAAAAAACTATTTATGTAAATTATTCTGTCGCCTCTGTATGTCTCTTTTCCGGCGCCACATTCGAGTCTGTTGCAGGCAGAGCAAATTCTCTCTCTTCTTTCTCTCTCTTCTCCTAGAAACGTCTGAAGAAGAAGGAAGCTCTTTATTTAATGGCGGAAACGGTACACGCGTCAACAACCTTTCCCCACTGATGGAATTTTCAACTCTCAACGCCATTCCTTCATTTTTATAATACCTTTTCCTCTTTGATTCCACTTTCTCCTCCGCAACATTTGCGTAGTATCACTGCTATTTAATTGTTGGAAATCTTCGGTGGATGGATTTCTCTCTTAAGGCATTCAAATCACACGGCTCTTACAAGTATGTGAGGAAGCTTTCTGGAACAGACACTACTCAAGATCAAGAACAGCTTCCGATTCTTTCAGATCAGGAGCCGAACAATCTTCACCAGAAACAGTCGTTTATGGCGGTGTCCGATGCATCTGACCGGAAGGAGGTCATTGTCAAGGTCGATCAGGCCGATGTTTCGAGTAATGCATCTGCGAGACCTGTGGAGTCGGTGAACTCCAGTGGGAGGATTTGGCGGGAGTCGAGCTATGATTTCTGGAATGATAGTGGTCGTAGACGGAATAATGGTGAAGGTAGTGATGGCGATGGTGGTAAGGGTGAGGATTTTGAGTTTAGGCAACAGAGGAAGGATGTGGAAGATCCGCCATCCAAGCTTATTGGACAGTTTCTGCACAAGCAGAAGGCGTCGGGAGAGATGTGTTTGGATATGGATATGGAAATGCTGGAACTACCACAGGATAAGACTCTGCCTCCGGTGGTGGAATCTCCGCTGCGACGGAGTTCGAAAGAGTTGAAGGTCTCGTTCGAGTCTATTTCAGAGATTTCCGAAAGCGATTCGCTGCGAAGACGACATAGAGACTCGCCGGTCGATGAAGAACATAGAGTACAGCAACCGCCGCAGCGTGACCATCGAGCGCATGGCAATGGTCATGATGATGGTACTCCTGAGGTTGTGAGATGCACATCTAATTCGTCGTTTGAGCGAGGTGTATCGTTCCAGCGGAAATCTAGCTTGCTTAAGACTAAAACTAAGTCCAGATTGCTGGACCCGCCCGAACACCAGGATCGGAGGTCAGGGCGTGTACCGAAATCAGGGAAAATCCGCTCTGGTTTATTGTCAAAAGCCTTGGATGAGGAAGATGATGATCCATTCTTGGAAGAGGATCTTCCTGATGAGTATAAGAAGGCTAATCTCGGTGTTCTGACTATGTTACAATGGGCGAGTTTGATTTTGATAATCGCGGCATTGATTTGCACTCTAACAATCCGTTACTGGAGGAGAAAGAAGCTATGGAAGCTCGAATTATGGAAATGGGAGGTTATGATTCTAGTTCTGATATGTGGAAGGCTGTTTTCTGGTTGGGGTATTAGGATAATCGTGTTCCTCATCGAGAGAAGCTTTCTACTGCGTAAGAGGGTTCTATACTTCGTTTATGGAGTCAGAAAGGCAGTCCAGAATTGTCTTTGGTTGGGTCTGGTTTTAATTGCTTGGAACTTTCTGTTTGATGACAAAGTTCAAAGAGAAGTAAAGAGCGATGCTCTTGAGTATGTGACCAAAGTCCTGATATGTCTGCTGGTAAGCACTTTGGTTTGGCTGGTGAAAACGCTGATAGTGAAGGTTCTGGCGTCTTCTTTCCATGTGAGTACATATTTTGATAGGATTCAGGATGCATTGTATAACCAATATGTGATCGAGACACTGTCCGGGCCGCCATTGATAGAGATTCAAAAGAACAAGGAAGAAGAAGTGAAGCTTGCAGAAGAGGTTATTAAGTTACAGAATGCAGGGGCCACTATTCCTCCTGATCTAAGGGCATCTGCCTTTTCAAGTCCAGAGGGTGGAAGGGTAATAGGGAGTGGAGGGCTACAGAAAAGTCCCCGTGGAAGGAGTGCCAAGCTATCTCGGGCGCTATCCAAGAAAGGGGATGAGGGTATAACTATTGATCACTTGCATAGGCTTAGTCCTAAGAATGTGTCTGCTTGGAATATGAAGAGGTTGATGAACATTGTCCGACATGGGGCGCTTTCAACTTTGGATGAACAGATTAAGGATTCAGCTCATGAGGACGAATCAACTACCCAGATCAAGAGTGAGTATGAGGCAAAAGTTGCTGCCAAGAAGATTTTTCAGAACGTGGCTTCGCAGGGTTCCAAGTATGTGCTACACACCATGAAAGTGCTTTAAATGCTTTTTGCAGTTCATACAACCTGCCCCTTTTTTACTTTCTCGTGAAGGAATTTTTAAGGAACTTCAATGCTTTTTCTAAAGATCATGAGAAAAGATGCCCCATCAAGAGGATGGTCAAGGAAATTGCATTAATGTCTATTGAAAGAATATTCACTTGAAACGGCGTCTCCCATTAACGATTCACCATCAATTTGGACTTAGTTTGAAACCAACCCATCTTACTTGCTTATACTATTAATTTGATCCATGCTACAAGTTGGCCAACCAAGCTGCCCTGATGCTGCTAATACATCTCCTATTGTGTTTTTACATGTAATTGGATCTTAATTTCTCATCAACTTTTCCCCCCTTCTGTTAGATATATCTATCTAGAGGACTTGATGCGTTTCATGGTAGAAGATGAAGCTTCAAAAACCATGAGTCTATTTGAAGGAGCATCTGAGAGTAGGAAAATAAGCAAATCATCCTTGAAAAACTGGGTGGTAAGGGCTATCTTATCAAAATTGGAGTTGTTTTGCATTACATTAGTGTCTTGCTCTAATGATATTACGCATCAAATTGTTCCAGGTCAATGCCTTTAGAGAACGGAGGGCCCTAGCTTTGACACTGAACGACACCAAAACAGCTGTGAACAAACTTCACCGCATGGTGAATATTTTAGTTTCTGTTATTATTCTGGTAATTTGGCTACTGATTCTGGGTATAGCCACCAGCAAGTTTCTCCTTTTTGTAACCTCTCAGCTTGTACTAGTCGCATTTGTATTTGGAAATACTTGCAAGACTGTTTTTGAAGCAATCATCTTCTTATTTGTGATGCATCCATTTGATGTTGGAGACCGATGCGAAATCGATGGCGTGCAGGTAACCGTCTTCTCCAAGTAATATTACATTCATTCCCACCTGATACTCTTTGTCCTAAACTGCATATCCTTGTATTTCAGATGATTGTTGAAGAAATGAACATTTTGACGACAGTTTTTCTACGATTCGACAACCAGAAGATCATATTTCCGAACAGTGTTCTCGCAACTAAGGCCATCCACAACTACTACCGCAGTCCTGACATGGGCGATGCTGTAGAATTCTGTCTTCACATATCTACTCCACCTGAGAAAATTGCTATCATGAGACAGAGAATACTAAGGTATGTGGAGAAACGACAACACAGTTTAATAAAAATGCAGACAGCCCCTCATTTCCTGACCTCTATAATGCTTTGTCTTTGCAGTTATATTGAGGACAAGAAGGAGCACTGGTGTCCTGCGCCATTGATTATCCTAAAGGATGTAGAAGAATTGAATAGAATGAGAATAGCAATATGGCTTACTCACAGAATGAACCATCAAGACATGGGAGAGAGGTGGACTAGGAGAGCCTTTTTGGTTGAAGAACTGGTTAAAATTTTCCAAGAGCTCGACCTGCAATATCGTCTCCTACCGCTCAATATCAACGTCTGTTCCTTGCCTCCAGTGAACTCTACTAGGCTTCCAGCTACTTGGGGAGCCACTGCAAGTTGAGTGAGGCAGACAAGGAAATCAACTCACAATATGAGACCTTCGACTAAAAAGGGATTGTTTAGTTGCATTCCCATTTCATTTTTCTGGTTCCTGTTACTAAATCAAGATAATGTGCTGTTGTATGTGTGTGTTATTGAGTTGATTAGCTCATGTAAAATGTCTTATTGATTTTTATATCTTACATTGAGAATCTGTTCTTCCATCACGTTAATATGTTTTGGAATATATATGCTGCGAGATCTCATCACATTAGTTGAGGAGAACGAAACATTCTTTACAAGTATGTAGAAAGCCCGAAAGGGAAAGCTCAAAGAGGACAATATCTGTCAGAGGTGAGTTTGGTCGGTTACAAATAGTATCAGAGCCAGACACCGGACGATGTACCAACGAGGAGACTGAGCCCCGAAGGGAGGTGTGGACATGAGATGGTGAGCCAACAAGGACGGTGGGCCCCGAAGTGAGTGGATTTGAGGGGTCTCACATTGATTGGAGAAGGGAACGAGTGCCAACGAAAATGTTGGGCCCCGAAGGGGGTGGATTGTGAGATCCCACATCGGTTGGTAAAGAGAACGAAACGTTCTTTATAAGGGTATAAAAATCTCTTCCGAGTGGATTATGATATTCCACATCGGTTGGGAAGGAGAAAGAAGCATTCTTTATAAGGGTGTGAAAACCTCTTCCTAGCATTCTATATGAGAGTATGAAAACCTCTTCCATAGCATTCTATATGAAAGTGTGAAAACCTCTTCCTAGCTAATGCATTTTAGAAACTTTGATGGGAAGCACGAAAGGAAAAGTCCAAAGAAGACAATATCTAATAGCTGTGGGCTTGAGCCGTTACATAATGTTATATTCACCTCAAACATACCCAATTCTTTACAGCTTTTCCTTTGGCGACAAAGCAACCAGTGTTCTTTCGATCAATTCTCAGCGGACTTTGTGTCCGAAACATAATCTCTCTAATCAGAGCTTTTACAGGAGACTCTCGTCTAACAATACTATGGTTTCCAGATCCACAAATTACTGTAACTTGTGCTGGAATCACACAGCTCTCATTTTCAAACTTCAGTCTCATCTCCTTCATCCACTCCAAAATGATCACATAAGCTGCACCAACATGTGCTCCATGCAAATCCAACTTCATCTCCATTGCATCCCACACCATTACTTCTCTCAAAACAGATGAACCAACCAACTCTTCAACCAACAAAGCCTCATCGCCATCCAGAACCGAGATCAAGTCTTCAATCAAAACTGGAAGATCGCCGCTCTTGTCTTGTAGCATCGACGTAATCTTCGGACATGAATTCAAGACAGAATTGTACGTCCGAACCGAAAAAGGAAGAGCAGAAGTTTTCATTATTTGAAGCCATAGAACCATATCTGCAAGCTTATTATGAACTCCATACGATGAGAGCACCATGTTAGAGCAAACTGTGTCTAAAGCAATATGATCGTTCTTCATCTCTTCCAAACTCCTCTTCATATCTTCAAACAATCCCAATGTTCCATATGCGTAAATAATGGACCTGTATTCAAATGCAGCAGGAGCAAATCCTTTGGCTTTCATTTCTTTTACCAAACTCTCAGCTTCCTGAGGCCTTTTCATGGAGCACAAACCAGTAACCATTGATTCATAAGCTCGACGTTTCACATAAATCGAGGACGAATTATAAAGAAGCTCATGAAGACAAGCATATGCGTTACGAAATCCTCTTTCTGAACCGTGTTTGGATTGAGATTCAACCAGCTGACAGTAGAAGTTTACAAGCTTTCTTTCTTGAATCCCTAATTTCGAAATTGCCTCGGAAATTAGGGTTTCCGAGTCAACAATCTGTCCATTTTTATCGAGGAAGGCAACAAGGTCAGCAACTAGCTTGGAATTCCATGCGAACCAGGACGTCTCAGTAATTCTGGAATATAACTGCAGGAACATAAGGAAATTGATAGAACAGTTTAACAAGAGAATCGGAAGGGATCAGTGACCAAATTTCGCAATAATTTTCAACTTTACCATTACGTAGATGATAAGGAAACCTAAATCTAAGACCTGGAAATATGATTTTCATCTCGATCTTCTCGCAGAATGATGCGATAATGAGGGGGGAAAGAACAAGAAAACGCTACTTACGATGCGAGCAACAGAGCAGAGTCCAGGTTGAGCCGTGCGAGAGGAAAGGATATCGGAGAGGACATTGAGAGTAATAGATTTCGGAGAACTCGCAACAAACTTTCGAATCAACCGATTGGTAGCTGAATGGTCGCCGGCGGCGGCGGTTGTGGCCAAAGTAGAGAGGAATCGGTGACTTTGTTTGGTGAGTGTAGCACATTTGACCTGCAGATTTGGCCGGAAATGGTAACTGCAGAAGCCGTCGTAGCGTTTAGGTGCCTTTGAGAAGAGTCGAACGCTATCCCCAATCACGTACGGCGGCGGGCATAAGCGGAGCTCCATTAGGCGCCAAAAGTAAATCGCATCTGCAAAATCAGATACCCCTCCACTAGGTCAGTTGAAGTAGTTAACTAAGTGGTGGAAGGAAAGTTAAAGCTAATTTATTTTGAGTTTACAAAGAAAGAATATACTCTCACTGTAGTTGAGTCCTTTTGGAGAAACCTAAACAAGTCATGTGATGCTCAAATTGGACAATATCATACTACTGTGGAGAATCATGTTTCACCGTCTTCTTTGGAGAGCGCTCGATCGGAACAACAGCCAACATACTACTGTGGAGAATCATGTTTCACCGTCTTCTTTGGAGAGCGCTCGATCGGAACAACAGCCAACAAAGTCATTTGATCTTCCTCAAGCAGAAACTGAATCAGTTGCAGGCTACAATGTAAACATGTGCCGGATGCAATCCTTAATAGTCAGCGGTTGGCAAAAGCCAATATCCAGAGTCCCAGGGACTCAATCGGACTAAAACAAGGAATGAATCTTTACCATCTTTCAAATATTCACTGACAGCCGAACCGAATAGATTAGGCCTCAATTATCATGAAACTTATTTCGTAAGTAATAGAATATAAAAACTAAAAGAAGCAAAGCCTTCACAGTTCACACTGCCATAAACTCCAATGTCCCATCCAAATTCTTGGGCAATGAAGTTCTATTCTAAGGTCTGTATTTCTCTCCCTGTTTCGAGCTTTTATATCTGATTTGCAGAAGAAAACATGGTCTCGATTCGACACAATCGGGACCTGTACAACATTCATTTGTGCATTATCTCGAAGCATTTTGTTTATTGCATTCATCAATGGTGAAGAACGCACAACAATCTTGACTGCTCTGAGGATTTACAAGATCAAAATATGTACAAAAGCTGAACTGAGTTCTGTTTAGGGTTCTGAAAGAACCATCGAAGGGCTCCAATACATATACACACGCTACAGGTACGTCTAAATGTTTAATTTACGACGCACTTTCTGCTGTAGTTGCTTTGAGTTTGAGTATCTGTTGTCTCTGTGTTGCTTCAAATTCACAGTATCTACCAGTAAGGATTTTACTTAGGGATTTACTAAATCCCTCTGTCTGGCTGTTATGAACAAGCTCTACACTAAGTTTTTGATTTTCTGAATGCAAATGAACGGGTCTACCCGGATCATCAGGCTTAGAGCGAAGCCAATCAACTGCAAAATAGAAAGATGTTGTTAAGGGAACAGAACACATGAGAACAATCTTAAAGAACTAACTCAATAGCTATCAATCCTTTTAGAACTTAGCCAGTATTTGGGGTTAGTTCATAGACATGTTAGAAATAAACAGCAGTTTTCAATCGGATCAAGGAGTTGGGGATGGGGGTGTTGAGAAATTGATATCTAAGGCTTCAAATCAAAATGGTGGGTTATTGTAACCGCCTAAGCCCAAAGCTAGCAGATATTGTTCTTTTTGAGCTTTTCCTTCTAGGTTTCCCCTCTAGGTTTTAGAACGCATCTACTAGGGGTGGAAGAATGTTTCGTTCTCCTCCCCAACCGATGTGGGATCTCACAATCCACCCAGGGTCTAGTGTCCTCGCTGGCACTCGTTCCCTTCTCCAATCGATGTGGGACCCCCCAATTGTCAGTTGGAGAGGGGAACAAAGCATTTCTTATAAGGGTGTGGAAACCTCTCCCTAGTAGACGCATTTTAAAACCGTGAGGCTGATGGCGACACGTAACGGACCAAAACAGATAATATCTGCTAGCGGTGGGCTTAGGTTGTTACAGTCAGTTCTAGAATGTGTTCAACCGATGCAGTTTTTTTTTTCCTTAGGAGTATAGGAATCTATGAACACTTCAATGTTGAGTATTTCCAAGAAAGAATGATGTACGCTGTTGTTTCTATCTTGGTTTCTCAATGTTCTTTGCTGGAATATTGTCTGCCTTTATAAAGTTACAATCTAAACATAGGACGAGGGCAATAGGAGGTATTTTGTATCCTTACCGAAGCGAGCCCAATGCACAAAATACCGAAGCCGGGGAAGTCAAATGGTGCATCCTTGGAGAGGAAAAGAGCTGAATAGATTGATGGATGAAGTCAAACAAATGGAGTTCCACATTTGTGGTGAAAAAAACTTACACTTATCTTGACAATTGATTTACCTATCAAGGGGCTGAAAAGTAATGGAGAAACAATGTTGGCAAGGGAATTAATGCCTGAGATGCATCCTTGGGCCTTCCCCTTGAGATGAAATTTATTTTACTTTAAGAGGTTCAACCAACAAAACATTAGTTTCTTTTTTACTGTTTAGTGTACTGACCTGCTCACTCGGTCCAACTTGACTCGATGCAATGTTGAATATCTGTTCAAGCCATAGATTCGTGTGAATGCCACGGCACTTTTTCATGAGCAAAGACAAGCTTTGAAGAAAGCAAGGAAAACTTACTATTGGACTGACCAGAATTGTAAAAATTGTCAATGCTCTTAAAGCATAAGGAACCTACAAATGTTAAGATCATTGTGGTTATTAAAGAAACAAAAGTTGATAGGTTGGATAGAGAATAGCTATCAGGTCAAGGAGACCGAACAGAATCAAACGAGCGCCTGTACGATTACGAGCAGAACAAGGGTTTTTTTTTTTTTTTTTTTTTTTA